CACGCCCTGTATCCGCAGCGAACGAGGGTGTACCTCTCTAGTAGCCACGGGAGCCACAAGCCACAAAATCGAAACCTTTGATAGCTGATCGGAGCTGCCTGCCAGGACTGCCTGACCGTCACTGTAACTGCCCCTATGCAGCACTCTGCGCTAACTTATTTAAAAAATAATCTGACCAGCAAATGCGAGAACAACGGATTTGTTGTAATCTTCTGGATTCTTCATGTCATGCTGAACCGTTGGCAATGCGGCATGACCACCGCAGGCAAAAATAAGAGTACCCAAGGAGAGGAAGAATCCCTTAGGTTTCAGCGGTGGCAGCTCTCTGAAATCATGGATTATACATGCCATTGCCACTAATCTTTGTCGAAATAGGTGCAGTCCCACTCACTTGTGACTTGAACATAGCCCATAGTCAAGTGCTATTCCAAGTAGGATCAGTACAATCGCAGCGACTGTTGTGAATATTGCGATCATAACTGCGACCCTGAACCAGTTAAGCATTTTCCAGTTAGCGGACAACTATATAGATTCTCGTGTGTGCTGGAATTTGTGCTAGGTGTTGAACTGAATTTGAGTAGAATGTTACTACCTTCTGTTAACGCTGCTGAAACTGACCAGAAATCTTGTGGAGATTTGAGATAAGTAACCGGCAGAAGACATCCTGCTACTATAAGAATGACAATACAATAGCTGAATTCCGTGTCGGTGAATGTCTAGAAAACAGCGGTTTCATGAGTATTACAGTTTTGTTCACTGCGGACGCTGGGGCGGTACAGGGTGACTGGGTTTGGTGCGGCGTCGGCCTGTTTCCCACCAATCGTGGTCGCCTCTGCGAGCTTCCCTGATTGGCTGGTGACACATTGGCGTCGCGGCAAACCCAGCTCTCCTGAAACGCCGCAGTGTTCGAAGCGGATACGACTATATTTTGTTCTGTGGTTTCCCACCTTGACCATATCATGAATGTTTTTCGCCGATAGAAGCAGATAGACGGTTGCAACTCCGAATTGTGTGATATCAATGATAACTGAGACAAATTTTCTGGAAAGGCTGTGAAATTAGGGGCGTGTTCAAGTACAATCCTTGAGCGCCAGCTTTTGGAGAAAGAGGCCACGAATTCTGAGTGCTAGACATGTTATACGTCTCAAAGTGCTCTGAAACCTCATTACCCCTATAAGGCAGTTAGGGCAAGCCATGATTTGCGGTGCGGTTTGTGAGGTTGTTGTTTCACTACCCTCGGTTTT